CGGGTTGCGACCAATTCGGGGTGCGACCAGAGTCATGGAACGAATTAAGTTCGTAAACCGAGGTTCCACTGTACATGCAATTGTAGTTACCAATAGCTGGAGAGATGCAAATTCCTCCCAACCAAAGAGAACACAGCTCCCCCCCCCCCACCGAGAAAGTATTACAAAGCCTACTATCTAAGGCAGTGATCAGAAACCTTCAGCTTTGGGATAATAGGTTTTTCCTGACTTTTGCCCTAAAAGCAGAGAATCCTTTGATAATGGTTCATGCATTTAAGCTTCCATTTATGTCCTAACCAGCGGGGTTCTGGATTCTTTAGATTATCTCCCATAATTCAGATATTTGAGAATCATATTTAAGAAAATCTCTTGGGGATAAGGAAAACAGGTGTTGTTCCTGTTTGATGAACAAAAAGCCAGTAGAATCTAATAAGCCACTTGAAAATAATCATTTATTGAACCAAATCCCATTCTAACTTTTAACTTGAGTTTTTTTTATATATATTTCAGTTATGCAAAAGGAGATCTGGATATATCATACATTACATCCAGAATTGCTGGTATGATTCAAAGCATTTTATTAAATATAATTTTCTTTAAAAGCAGGTTAAATATATTGAGTTCAACCCTGACTGTTTTTTTCCCCCTTTCTCCCTACATTCTCTAGTGATGTCATTTCCAGCAGAAGGTGTTGAGTCTGCTATAAAAAATAACATAGAAGATGTGCGGCTGTTCTTGGACTCAAAACATCCTGGACGCTATGCTGTCTACAATCTGTCTCCGAGGACATATCGGCCCTCCAGATTTCACAATAGGGTTTGTAAAGTAGTATAACTTTTTCCCATTGTTTTCCCCATTGCAATATTGCCCATCTCATTGTGCATTTTCCTCACCTTGGCATGAAAATAGTAAGAGAGTTGCTTTAGTGTAGAAAAAGGATTTTCAGACTGACTTCCATCCATCATCTCTTCCTCAAAGCCCAAACACCTCTTTAGCCTGAAGGCTTCATTCAATTTTATGGGACTGCAAAGGGCAGAAGGGGTTGCCAGTAAAATGGGGGTGGAATTGAAAGAAGAAAGTAATATTTCCTAAAGTAAATACATGAATAGAGAGAAAGAAGGAGAGAGTGCATGCCTGCATATGGCAGTTGCCAACCAGATGTTTTCAGAAGGTCCATTGAGCAGGAAATGAAATCATTTACAGGTAGAACAACACATACTCTCATACATACTTTTGCCTCTATTACTAGCATTTCTTAAACAAAAATAACCTGTTTGACTGAATTAATTGTGTGTGTGTGTGTGTGTGTTAGAGAGAGAGCGTGTGTGTATGTATATATTCTACCATTTTTAATAATTTAAAATTAAGAAAAAGGCCATTCCAAATGTCAGCAAATCTGTTTCAAAATATTTACAGAATTTGGTTTTGTATAACCTTAAGCATAAACTCTAAATGCATATCATTTTATATATGCTTCTTAATTCTAAACTATAGTAGCTTCCAAGCTATTTCAGTGCCACACTCTGCTGCTGAATTTTAGTGACAAAAGAAGACGGAGCGCTGTGGGCTGCGCCAAAGCCTTGAGGTGGAGAGGGGGAAGCACATGTGGCCCCCACTATTGGATAAGATCTTCATAATATTGAAACTTGCTGCCAGAAGATGTGTAGAGTTTTCCCAGGTTCATAGAAAGCACACTCTGAATTAGGGATATACAAAATACTCCCTTTCAGAGACAGAACATTCCAAAGAACCCTCAAGACAGTCTGTTCCTCCTCCAGACCATGCTGATCTGGCTCTTCTGGAGATGATCTGGCAGTTTTCTGGAAGTAAAGGTTTGTGCTTCCAGATGTGATCTTACACAACCCAAATCATCATATGCCAGGAATCCATAAAAGGGAAGTGCGTTGCCCTCACACCCTGTTTGCAAAGTTCAGTTGGCTGCTGGCCCAGGGATGAACTAGAAGACCTTGTACTGTGTCCTGGTAGTGCTGCTTCTGCCTTCTTATGATGAAAGCTCTTTGAAGCTTGAAGCTGAAACATGACCAGTTTCAGCGTCTGGAAATAGGTGGCAATGGATTTAGAGCATGTTGTAAACAAATGACTTAAAATCTAAAGGAGACCATTTCAAAAAGCCAGTTTTAGTATGGCCAGTTAATTATATTAAAAAAATAATTTCTGGAAAATTAAGTTAGCTTAATTTTTAATTACATTTTTAATTTAAGGGTGAAGTTAGCTTACCGTCTTTTAAAACGATATCCTAAAGAACCTAGGATGATTCTTTTTCTGTGATTTTGCAGACACAATTCATATCCTTGCAATATTGCCCTTGATTAGTTTTTTCCCCTTTAAATCTTTCATTCACTGGGTTCCAAAAAGATGAAGAATGGACAGAATGTGCAAGTTGTTATGGGAAAAACGAGTACCAGTTGTGCCGGTTTAGCACTGTTAAATGAGATCATGCCTCAGTTGAACTGTGTTTCAGGAAAGGAAAGGACTTGATCACTGCTGTGGAACAAGTTAAATTTAAGACTTGGCAATTTTTAAAGTTGTGATAATAGTTGGCAGTATGTTAGATTTAATAAATCAAAGTGTCTCCCGAACAGGTATCTGAATGTGGTTGGCCTGCAAGGCGTACACCAAATCTTCAAAACCTTTATAGCATCTGCAAGAACATGCATTCATGGCTGAAGCAAGATCCAAAGAATGTTTGCATTGTGCATTGCCTTGTAAGTAGCACTTAAATGTGGAGAAGCTGGCCTTTGCTGTGCACGCTGGTCTGAAAGAAATTACTCATTTAAAATCCACCATGAATAGCTTGGAGGCTGAGTGTCCCAAAACCATAATGCAGTATCACTTGGGAAGATCTGTACCATGACATAGATCTAAGATTTTGATTCAACCCTAAAGATTTAAAATAAGGGGAGGGAGGATTTTTTGGCTGCTAGGTTCAGTCATTGGTGAGGATGGAGAGTGTGTGGCTACAGCGGGCAAGGCTAAAATAGGGCATGGGGGCATTGCGGCTCAAGCCAAACGTGTCCGCTATGTGGTATCCTGATATGAAAATGCTCTCCGCCCCGGCTTCTGGATTGTTCTTGCCAGAGCGCAGAACTGATTTCTCAGCAGAGGAGTTTTGAAATCATGATACCATATGGCAGACAGATGAGCAGAAACAGGCAAACAAAATGGTTAGCAGATCGAGGAACCTCCACTGTAATAGGAATCTGAATGGTCTGGAATCAGCTGTTCATAGGAGTAGGTATCCAGGGGAGAAAGTTGACTGAGAGAACATTCTTCCTCATAATATTAAAACTTACGTCTAATTTGGATTTTCCTATATGCATGCATTTCTATAGGCAACCCTTGCTTTAGGCAACCCTAGCTATTTTAGAAAATAACCTTGAGACTACAGACCTTGTTTTCTCAAACTACAGATGAGAAGGTTAATAGCCTTTTCTCACCTATATCAAGTCAAATCAAATCCTTTATTGCGGTCAATGACTAGTCGTAGGTACAATTCAGCAATGATGTTACGGGGGAAAGGGCAGTGGGATATAGGTAGGTGAGCAATTTACCCAAAAGAGAGGACATCATCTCGCCAATAGTCAATGCACGTTGTATTTGATTTCCAGTAATTTACCTCTTTGGTGGGGTTGTGTTCTTTCATAGGACGGAAGAGCAGCATCCGCAGTTGTTGTCTGTTCTTTCTTGTGTTTCTGTCGCCTCTTCACGACTGCTGAAGCTGCTGTTTATATGTTTAGTATGAAACGCTGTCCTCCAGGCATTTGGCCGTCACATAAGAGGTACGTTGTTTGCAGAAACAACTGTTTCCTTCAAGATAAACCTTGCTTTCTTGTAAAGTTTGCAGATTTTAAAAGAGAGCAGTAAGCTGTGGACAGATCACTGAAGTGGGTCTTCTTGCAAAGGCATTCGGTTCTGCAGGGTTCTGTCCTGTTCGTACAGTCCACGCTGAGATGTGTTTGTATAACTGTAGCATTGAAGTTAATATTAAACCATGGTTAGGTCACTTTCCAATTAAGGCGTTCCAGCAAATCCAGCATAGGTGCCATAGCTGGCTGGCTTTTTCATTTCCCCTCTTTTTTAGGTTAATATCCCACCAACCTTTGCATTGCCCATCATTTTCTGACATTTTGTTTATTGTTTTAATTTGGCAAAAAACCAAACGATGAGAAACACAGCCAGAATAAAGTCAGAGCTGTTGCGTGCAGACTGGAAGAAGGCTGACATTCCCTAACCCATTTGGGTTTTAAACATAGTGTCTGTGTGCCACAAGGCACAATAACAGAGCAGGAGCAGTGAAAATGTTATTGTGGGAATGACTCAGCTTGTGACCACTCTTTTACCTCATGTCGTTTTTCTGGAGGACTAATGGCTTCTTAACCATCAGCTAACTGTTAGTCCAGATTCAGACAACAAACCAAACAATGGTTAAGGAAATTTAATTTATGATAAATTGGTTGTAGCAGCCTGTAGTTTAGACGTTCTTCCTTGACCACAATTTGACTTTACTCTGGGCTCATGCAGTAATCATAATAGGCATAACATGTTATGTGAATTCTACAAGATTTCACGTCACTGCTTTTCCTGTTTTCAGCTATTGAGGGTTCCTTGCTCTCACCTATCATTCAGATGCTGCCTTACTATGCTGATCAAGTTCATGCCTTTTTAAATGTATTTAGATTTCTGAATAGACTTGTTTTTGATGCTGACATACTTTTCATTGATAAAACAATCCCAACATAGGAATATGACAAAGTAAAAAAAAGAGGACGTTTTACAATAAAACTGCAGAGATGATAACAACTCCATGAGCTTTACTAAAAGTACTTGCTCCTCAAACATGGTTTAGCTACATGTTTAGACCTGTCTTTAGGCATAGGAAGCAAGTATAATCCATCATGGCTAATCCAGCCATATAACAAATGAGACAGTAATTTTTTTTATTTTTGGGGGGGGTACAAACTCAGTTGTTTCTTAGTATGAGCTTAATTATGCTCCCTTAAACTAAACATTTAAAACACTCTTGTGGTTCAGCCATTGGTTTATAGCAAGAATGTCTCCCAGTTATGGGAAAGGTATGTTGCTGCAGACTGAAAGAAGATGGCTTTATTCTTCTCAGGGCATCTCTGTTTTACAATAATGTGTAGATATGTACTGCATAAGAGTAGTAGAAGAAAGAGTTCATGCTTTTGCACACTTATTGATGAGATTGACTAGTGTTGTATGTATGCTTTGAAGTTGCATTGTATTGGCTCGGCTCAGTTGGCCTTGTTTGACTGTATACTTTGACCATGTTCTTGTGTGTTCTCAGGTATATTGAATATATGTGTGACATGATGGCTGATGAGCCCATTATTCCTCACAGCAAGCCAATCCTCATAAAATCAATCGTCATGACTCCAGTTCCGCTTTTCAGCAAGCAGCGCAACGGCTGCAGGCCTTTCTGTGAAGTTTATGTCGGAGATGAAAGAGTAACCACTACCTCACAAGAATATGATAAAATGAAGTAAGTGGGATTTCCCAACAGATACCATTCTGTCTCTTGCAGCAAAGTGGAGTAGGGTGGGGAGGAGATCCATTGGCGCCTTAATATCTTAACACATTTTTATGGCTGGCATTTTCATCAATTAGAGTCGACTTTATCAGATGCAGCTATCTAGTTCACGCAGTGGTTATTTTATTAGATGCTTTATTTCATTATTGTGCTGAAAGGCTCCCTGAATCAATTCAGTTACCCCCCCAAAAAGGCATCCCTGTCTTCAGTTTATGAACTAAAAGATAAAACATAAAAGGGATAGGGGGAAGGAGAAGAGAAATCCCAGAGTTCTCAAAGGTACAAAGGAAAAGGAAAAGTTGGAACCTTATCAGGGTTGATGTACTGGCCTTGTTCATTGTCTTTCCCTGCTTTTGGGGGGGGGGGAGGGCGCTAAGCTGGATATCACATAAAAAAAGAGCCAGAAGTAGCCAGTCTCTCAGGCTCCTTTATTTTAAAGTAAAGGCAGATTTGCCTGAAATTTGTTCTCTTTGGAGTTCAGATATGCTAATCAACCGTTTCCATCATCCAGTGGTCATGCAAGCTGAGGGTTGATGGGAATAGTAGTGTAACACAACTGGAGGGTCATGTGATTTGGGAAAGTTGCCCTAGAGCATAGTATGAAATGACTCTCAAAAAACCCATTTAATCTTGGCATGTCCACAACTGGAACCCAATGTTACTAAGCAACAGGCAGTTGTAAATACCTGCTGTAAATATAAATATCTAATTTTAGAACTGGAATCCCATGAAATGGGCTTGTCAAAGGAGGGTTTGGGTTTGGGTTTGTTAGATCAGTTCCCAAGCTACTTTGCCAGCTGTTCATGGAAACAATCCGCCAGGTAATTTGGGACTTTGCAAAGTGGTTCATGATCTGATTTCAGGCTGAGAGAGAGAGAGAGGGAAGTCTGTTATTTAATGACCAAACCAGAATAAAATTTTGGATATGGCTAATTTATCTACATTTTCAAGGCATGCAGGACCATCCCAGAAGTTTAGCTTTGTCATAAATGTAGGTAGACTTAAAGATGGATTTGTTTTTGCTGATCTTAGCTTATAATACTGTAGCTGCATGAGCAATCCTTAAACCTTTTTACATTCTGGAGTCCAGCTGGAAAGTGTGGGTGTGATGTGGACACTTGGGGACGAGGCTTGCAAAAATATCAGGAAGGCTTGTCTGGAGAGATGGCAGCAGACAGGCAGAGGGAGGCAACAGGAGGAGTTGAGGAAGCAAGAGAAAGAACATGTGTGCACAACAGCTTACTAGAGGCTGAGGAGAAGATATAATCTGAGTCAGACAGTCTGTAATCAAATACTACACAATAGCTTGAAAAGTACCGAGGGAAGAGCCAGAGACTTGGTCAGGAACACGCTGAGGTCAAAACGAAGCAGGAGTCAAGGGCAGGAATTCACAAAGACAGATGCCAAAGTTACTTCCAGTAACAGAAGGCAGTGCCTGCGCATTTTAAATCCTTACCCCACCGAGCGTGCCCAGTTGAGGCTTTCCCTGCTCAGCCGTTGCCAATAATGAAGCACCGGGCTGGCTTGCAGTTGCCAGGACTCAAAAACTGACTTGAAGGCACACATACAGAGTCCAGCTTTAGGTAAAACCGAACTATATTGTGTTTGGTCTATGACAATATCTTTTAATAAGCTGAAATAAATTAATATTCCCTAATTTGATTTTGACTTTGCACACCATATGGAAGTCAGAATGAAATTAGGGAATATTAATTTGACTCCTGCATGGTGTGCATGATTGCCCAAGTCCAGCTGCAAGACAGCGGATGTGTTGGAATATCTATATCGGTACTTGAAAAAGGGAAGCGGTGGAACTAATAAACTGGTAGGATGAACTGCAGTTGCTTTCAGATCACAACATCTGAGCTGTGCTTTTCCTCCTTAGGGATTTCAGAATGGAAGATGGCAAAGCAGTAATCCCATTAGGCATCACCGTCCAAGGAGATGTCCTCATTGTGATATACCATGCCAGGTCCACTTTAGGTGGCAGACTCCAAGCCAAGGTAACAATCACAGCAGGGAGCTCAGTCCTCATAAGTTCTCAAAATGCTGTTGGGCACTTAAGGGTCGAGACTGTTCTTAATAGTTGATTGGATTTTTTTTGTTTTTCATATTAGGCAGATGGGAAACAGTTTCCTCATCGTCACTTTCCTGAACCAAACTGAAATTTTTAAAAAGTTGTATAAGTGTAAATAAAGGAATTAAGAGGCACTATTTAATAAAAACAGCTTCAGAAAAATGTACAAAGTCAAAGTGAAATGGGAGAGTTCACTGCTGTGGCTTGCTCTTTGTGGCCTGCATTTTTTTTCTTAAATGAAACATTTGAAGAGGATGTATGAATATGAATTTTCGGCAGGTTGTTGCAGAAAATCAGATTGTTCGATATATACAGTAATTGAAATGTTTGAGAATTATTCACAGTAACGGTTAACTAGTAATTCAACTTATTCGTTGGCCCAGGCTGACATTGATTCTAGCTACCCTGAGCCTAGAAAAAAAGGCATGGCCCCAAATATTATGAATAAATGTATTAACAGCAGGAAGTCATTGGATACAAGATAAACTGTTTGAGGGCCAAAGCCATTCAATGCAAGACTGGCAGCCAGAAAATATGGGTAATGAAATACTGAAGGTGGTCAGGTCAGCATTTGTGTCTTCCAGGCATGTTGTTTCACTGACATACCTTATTCATTTTTCTGTTCCTTTTCAAGATGGCATCAATGAAGATGTTCCAGATCCAGTTTCATACAGGATTTGTACCTCGCAATGCCACTACTGTGAAATTTGCAAAGTATGTTGATAACTTCTTTATAGGAAATGCTTCACAACCCTTCTTGAACTTGCATTCTTATATTTTCATTTGTTTTTAAAATATAGCTTCCTCCAATATAATTCCTCAGCCTTGTTCAACCCCGTGGACAACAGGTCCCATACAGTAATTGCTACCCAAGTCACCAAAATATCTGGAGAGCACCAGGCTTTTCCTCTTCAACCATGCCTTGGCCTCTACATGAATGTCAATGTAACATGAGCCAGAACTGGGAGATCAAGAGATGGGGGGATGGCTGCAGCCTGCGAGGACCCTCTTTTCCGACTGCCCTCATATGTAAATTCTCCCCACTTCTTACAGTAGCATTCAGTGTTGCTTTTAGTCACTTCAAAGTGAAGCTAAAATCGCCTCCAAATGTTGGGCTCTGAAGTAACGTTTGAATTGCTCTAGGTTTGGCCAGACATAATAACCAAACACAAGCAGAGCTGAATAAGAGGAATTCATAT